GTTAATTACACTCCACAGGTCCCTCGATTTCACCTAAACGCATCCATTCATGTTCAAATTACAGCAAATAACATAAAAAATAAAAATTTGAAGCTGTTTTTCAAAAACGGCGTGTTCGCGGTCGGAAAACCCAAATTCCGGCGACGGTGGTGGTCCCCATGATCGGGGACCACATGGGCTAGCATCCTCTCTTCATGGTGCAGCTATTCCACCCATGGGTCATCACCAATTTAGGCGAAATGTGCACGAATTTCACATGGCAGATCACGACTCGCTTAGTCCGTCGAATCTGGTTTTGGTTCAAATTCATCCTTATTCATTTGTAATTGGTCAAGACCCATATGTTCGGTGGGTGCGCCATGGTGGGGAGACGCTAGGTGTGGGGGTCCACAACCTTGAGTGGCATCGCCGAGGTCGGAATTCGTGGTGGAAGGGGCTGACCGTTTCGTGGAGGAAAAGTGGCTGAGGGGGTGATTCATTTTTTAGTGTTTGTGATTGATTTACACATTTTTTAAAAGTATGGACCCATAATTACAATTTATTATGTATTTTTCTTTTGTTTTGTTTTTATTCTATTTTAATAGAAGGGTAAAATTGTCAAAAATAGAAGAAATGGATGTTTTGCGCAAGAAATGGTAAAGGTATGGATGTTTTGGGCCAAAAAATGAAACGTAGGGATGTTTTCCACAAAAATCGTCAAACGTAGGAACGTTTTACGCCAATTACCTTTTTTTTTTAAATAACGACCATCAAACGAGAGCTAGTTATGATTTTTTATATTCTTACTTTTATTGGTGGAAAGTGTAAAATTTTGATTTCAAACTTTAACTAGTCAACAAGAGACGTGATTCAATAAATATGGTTTGAAAAATTATTTACGAGAAAATATATAGTTGAAAATGAGTTTTGAAAAATTATTCTTTTTAAAAATGGGGGTGAACATAGGCTTAGCACTTGTTTGTGGCCCATTATTTGGGAATAATGCATTTTTGAATAGTATATTGATGAAAAATGTGGTTAAAAAATAAGAAATTTTTTTGAATTTGTGTGTAATATTATTTTATTGAAAAATACGTGATCGAAAAGAAAAGAGAGAAAAATATATTTTCGAACAAGAACTTAATCTTTAACTTCATATTTTCAAAAGGTGCATGTTGTTAATCTTTTTTCACATGTTTTTTTAAACTAAAAGAATCACTT